CGAAGAACTTCCTGCGTGGATCATATGCCGCAAAAAACCGTTAATGCTATAATCCCTATAACGTCCAAAACGCACGTCCCACGAGTTGTTGCCTCCCGAATCAACTTTCTCAGCACGGAACTATCCCCCCTCCGCACCCCTTTCCCATTATATTCCATTTTAAGTAAAGTGTAGTCCCTAGGGGGGGGGACGCCTACTACTACTACTACTACTACTACTTCTACTACATCACAACCGGTCGGTCAGCTTGTGTACAGCCTGGTGCCAACTAATTCTATGCGCCGGCGCGGTGTGGAACCTGTAACTCGTAACCTAAGCCCTGAGACCCAAGACCCTCACCCCAATCCTAAACCTTAATGCAAAACTCCTGAATTTCAATCCCAAACCATAGACGCAGAACCCTAACTCCTGAAGCCTAACCTGTAGGCACTGAGCTCAAACCCTTATAGCTATGAGACCCCAAAACCATTTAGCCTGCACCCCCGGTTCCCTAAAAGATCCTCAGCCCATACCCCCAACGCTAATTCCTAAATCCTAAGCGTTAACCCATAACTCCTAGACCCTACACCCTCGCAACTATCCCAGAAAATCTTAACTCCTAGCCCTAAGCGCTTAAGCCTAGGCCCTCAGCTGTAACCTCCCCTAAACCCTGACGTCCTAATTCCTAAGCCCTTTTAACTTTGAACCACCCGGGAAGGCGCAAACAAAAAAACGAATTCCCAACGCTTAAATCCTAACCCATAAGCCCAGACTCTACCCCGAAAAACCGTAACATCCAAACTGCAGACCCTAACCCTAAACTGTAAGCCCTGAGACCCTATAGGCACGTAGCCGTGAAATCTTAACCTCAAAACACTGACCCGACATAAAAGATAAGTTCAGAAATTGTCTGGGTCCCCGGGGTTCACCTCTTAGGCTTACCCAGCAGCCTATGCTTCTTGGGCGTCTGAGCGTTGGTTACCTTTGAGGACCCTTCCTCGTGGCCCCTGACACCTTCCGAAAGGATAACGAGTCAAGAATGTAGATGAACTCCGAAAGCCTGGTGGTATCTTAAAAGCTTAAACCCTGGGACCTTGGGGGCTTTTTTTTTCGTGCTTTCATACATAAAAATATGGCATAAATGCGTGGATACGGCTAAGGTCAAACCTTGGGGCCTTAGGGTTTAGGCTTTAGGGTTCAGGTTTGGTTTAGGCTTTAGGGTTCGGGCTTCACGGTTCGGGCCTTAGGATTCGGGCTTTAGGGTTCGGCTTGCGGGTTCAGGATTCAAGGTTCGATCTTGAGGGTTCGGGCATTTTGTTTTAACTTTCCATTCTTGTTTTGCAGGCCCCCAGGGTTTTTCTTTCCGTTTCCCATTCTTGTCTTGGGCCCCCTTGCAGTTTTCCATATCGTTTGCTCCTCCGACCTTCCATCCCCAGATTGTCCTTCCAGTTGCTATCTTGTCCTGTTCATCCGGGTCCTGCCAAATCTGCTAAGCAGTGAGCCGTGCTGCTCCTGGTCAACTCCTGCAACTCAAGACCAATTGCGAGATTCCAGACTTGGACATAAGTGATGAAACACAAAGGAGCCCCTGCTTTTTCGACATTTTAAACGGAGCCCAGTGCAAGGCAGAAATCGAAATGGGGCCTAGCACGCAAAAAACCCAAATGGAGCCTGCCAAGGGACCCAAATTCCGCAAGATGGAATCCGAAAGAAAATCCAAATTCAACATGGAGATCGCAGTTGGAGGTCAAACTTCCATAGATGTAGCTGTGCTGTTGTTGGCCAAGACGGGCCTGAGAGAGTTCAGGTTCTCAATCCTCACAAGGGTAGGCTTCGGTGATCAGTGTGGCCTTTCCACAACCGGGAGATGGTTGTATTTCGCAGTGATGCTCTGACGTGGATTTTGCAGCCTGACGAGCATTACTTCTGCGCCGCGTCACATCGACCTGTCAACCCCAAACCGTAAACCCCGAATTGTAACTCCTGAAGCCTTAAGTTCCAAGGCCCCTCCCCCGCCCCCCCGGCCCCCCCCCCCCGGCGAGGCAGTAAAGGAGAGTGACTCTTGGGCTGCCTTTGGACGCATGGCAATGGCTTGCCCTGGTCTGGTGAGGTTGGACACTCGGCAGGTTCCTTTGAGCATAAGACAGGATTTTGGAGGCAACCTCCTGGGCTCCAGGTTTCGGGTATTGAATCTAGGGTTTCATCCAGGGGCTTTGATCTCAAGGATTTCAGGATTTAAAAGGAGGTTTTGTGACTTGACTACCCTTCACAGCCATGTTCGATGCCATCCCCAGGGGCGCTGCGTGTTTTCAGGCAGAGATTGTAAGAGATTGGGCTTCAAGGAATCAGAGCAGGTCCAGGCCGTCGATGGGGTAGACGCGCATTGACCAGCCGTCAACCAAATGTAACGTACCCCTGCCAGCACTGCTCCATCGTAGCTCACCCGCGATCCTAGGACTTCTATCATGCTCCCATAACAGCAGTCTTCCCCCCTTCCTCATTTTGATTAGGTGGTCTTGTTTTGGCCTGAGGAACCACAGCTTGTGACTGGTTTCAAGGTATCACACGTGTTTGGAAGAAAGTCTCTTCCATTTTGGGAGCGCGCTTGCTGTGCCAACTCATAACTGGTCACACATGCTGCTCCTGTTGCCGTCAACGCCTATCATGACGACAGTGCTGCTGTGGATGTTGCTTTCGCTTCTGGAATTTGGGGGAGACGTGCGCAGAATGTAGAAAGTGAAAGGGTTGTAACTGAGCAGCCGGGCCACGCCCTGAGAAGAAACAAATGGCGAAGTTGTCTCAAGAAAGTACAAGTTCTTCAAGCTTGATCCGCTAGGAGTGACTGGCCGACTGTTGATGCTTAGTTCAACTCTTTTTCTTGGAAGGGAGGGGCATGGCTGAAGTTGTGAAGAGCATCCAGTGGCCAAAGAGGAAGGTGAGCCTTCAGTGTTGCAAGTGGCAAATTATAATACTATAATGGGGTTATATGGGGATTATAGGGTATATTTTGGGGTTGTATTGGGATAACGGAAAAGAAAACGGAAACTATTGGAAACTACTATAAAAGCATTGCAATGCTTCAAGGGGTCCTGTTGCTAAGCTCTGCATCCAAAGAGCTTGCGGGACGTCGTCCGCTACATTGAGGTCTATTGTATTCAGCACAGTAAACGATCCCTATATAACCCCAATATATCCCCTATATAACCCTACTATAGTAGTTTCCATTTTATTTTCCATTATTCCAATATAACCCCAATATACTATATAGTAGTAATCAAGACAAGAAGCCGCAAGGACATCATTTGCACCCCTTACGGGTTGCAGACTTCTGGCCGCGCACAGCTAGCTTGTTAAGATGCAGTCGTTTCTGTTTGACAAGCCTTGCAATGGTGTGTGTCTAGTAGCGCAGAGTGTATACCCTCGGTGCCAGCGAGGAGTGCGTGAATGCCAAGACGCAGCTGCGCACAAAGAGGCTGCTGCTGCTGTTGGAGAATTTGCGGCAGGGCTTTGAACACATGCGGCTGCTGGACGTGAAGCTTGGGGCAGAGACATCTGTGGCTTGCTGGAAGGGCAAGAGCCGGCTAAACGCTTGGAAAAATGCTTGCGTTGACCAGCGGACGAACTCAGCTGTGGAAGGCTTTCGCCTTGAGGGTATCGAGCTGCCGCCACGGTCCCTTGAGAAGCGCATCTCCGAAGTGCTGCAGTCAAAAAGCTTGACTACCACGAAGTACATCTCGCCTAAGGTTATACGACGTTTCACGTTACAAAGGCTGCGGGCTGTCGATTTTTTGGAGTCGTGGTTGGACGTGTCACATCTAGGCCTTGGCGCAGAGCCGCATGCCCAGAAGGCCGCCTTAGGCGCTTTCGAGCAGATGCGGCTGTTGCTCTCGGCCGTCTTTGCTTTGGATGTTCCGCAGCAATGGATTGGCTCGTCTGTTGCGCTGGCAATGGAAGTTGGAAGCTTTGCCATCCAGCCGCATGTTGCAGTGAAGGTGTTTGACTGGGGTAGGGCAGAGCTGAACACCGCCAGCGTTTTCAATTCCCTGCCTCTCGAGGAGAGAGAGAGCCGAACGCGGTTCTGGAAGCAATATCTACAATCACTGGCGAGGATGTACTGGGAATTAGGACGTATGGTGGCTCACCGGTGTTGCTGCCCAGCCTGGTCGGTCCTCGTCCTAGAGCTGCGGGCCTTTGCACCTGCAGTGCTGCGAGCTGCGTTGCTGGGGGAGAGCCTCGCAACTACCCAGGCGAAGAATTTGAAAGATTTGCAATGAAACGTCTGGCTACGTGCAGCCCGCAAGCAGCAGATAAGCCCTGCTTTTTTTGTTGTTGCTTTTGTTCAGGAGACCTTCGGCATGGGGCTCTTCCAGATGTCTGCGGAGGGCGGCCGCGGCGAGATTTCGCTGCCCTTGCTGGGCACTGCACAGCAGGCCCGACCCAAACACCATGCCTATGGAAAGCTTGTGAAACCACGAAACCCATATTGTGGAACTAATCCAGGAGACGCTGCTGGGATCTCTGCGCCTTCGCATCAGTGTTCCTCCCCAAGGGGTGGGCACGTGTTCTGTCGAGGACCTGGGGTGCGGAAACCGATGGTTGTCCAGGTTCATGCAGCAGATAGACAGGGGTTTGAGGGTGACGTAGGCAAGACAAGACACCATTGGAAGGTCCGCGAAACCTTCGACGAATCCTGGCAGGATGATAGGGGACAGGGGTCACTCATCAGTGATTTGCACCAGTGCAGCAATTCTCCGCTCACTTAGGTGGAGCTTCGCGACATGGCTGGTTGCATCGTGACAGTCAGGGTCATTGCCTTCGAGAGATCGGGGGATGCTCGTGTGTATGTGGAGGCTCGTGAAGTTGGCTGTTCCGCAAGGAAATCCATGTAGATGCAGCCCGGGAGCGCTGCAGATCGACATTATTCTTAGAAGCACGCCAGAAGTTCTGTAATGTCGGAGATCTGTAAAGGACGGTGAAGGGCTCAATTGTGCGGATTCAATACTCCGAAATAAACAGAAGCACGTTGCCGAAGAGCCAGCCCCAGGCCTACACGTTGTTGTGTGACCAACTGATACCAGCTGATTGATTTCCATGTTTGGGAGGCATTCCAGTCCGGTTGTCCAGCTCCGGTACGGCGTGGCCATGTCTGCTGCCAGAGCACTGGGCCGGCAACGACAATCCAGAACAAGCTTGTTTGGCAGGACTGCCCTCATGCAAGACACTTCATAGCTCATAGTTGCTGCTGACGAACAGAAACTCCCGCTGCCCTGTCAGAAATTCAGACATGCATTTACGACTAGATTCATCGTAGCTGGCAGATTACACTGCTTGTCCGAAACATGCGGAAGGGATCTTGGACTTTGTGTGTCGTAGGACCTTCTGGAGTTCCACAGCCTTGGAGATGCTGCGGGCGTTGCCCAGGCAGAGGTGAAGGCCTCTCTGGCATCCCTGGGTGTGCCTTGGTGACTTTTTGATTCTGTGAGTCCTCTGAACCAACTCCTCGTCCTTGATGGGGGTCCCCACATTATGAGACCAAGGGGTAGATTGCGAATTTCGTGCCTCTAGTATCGTGCTGGAATTGTGGGTGTAGGTTGCAGGTAGCCTGGGTGGCTCACTTTCGACCCTGAGGAAAGTTACAACCTTTTGCATCAGGTGGACTGTTGCAGTGATTGGCTGTCCAAACTGCCACCGTCGACTGCAGAGCTTGTGGCTGGGCTCGTCAGATGTGCGCTGTGCATACAGTACTGAAACAGCACCGCGCTTCACAAAGCTTAGATTGGTTAATGCGCGTAGCGAGAATTCAGAAGCTTTTCTCTTAGGAGGACGTGGAGGAGAAGTCGACTGCATTTCTCGAGGAACTTTGCAAAAAGGCGTAGACTTGAAGATCTCAGAATCATATAAACGGACAGATGCTCAAGTGCTGTGGATGGCAGATTTGAGTTTTGACCGTTTTCTCTCCGAACTTGCTAAGCTGGACAGGTGCAGTGGTCAATGCACTGATTCTGATTTGACCGCGTGCGCAGCTTGTTGGGTGAGAGCCCCGTAGGTTACTATTCTGATCCTTGCACCCCTCTGGAGTATCCAAGCATTGGAATTTTCTTCAGGAAGGCTTGGGCCAGTCGCTTGCTGCTCGCTTAGCCTAGGACCCTGTCCAGATCTTTGGCCTAGGAACTGAGCGTTTTAGTATCCGGCCATGCTGTGCCTTATCCGTTAATGATGCGGGTTGCAGGCCAACCAAATCGCTTTGGAAAATGGAACTTCTTTCAGCTGACTTGTGCTTTCTTCACTACCGGATCCTTGTTGAACTGCAGTTGAACAGGTTTGCTCGGGCCATTCTGCCCGCAGCATTCATGCTGAGCATTTTGCTGTTTTGCTGCCAGGCTGAGCCACGAAAGATATCATGCGGCAATGCGCTCGCGCCTCTGTGCATTGCTGGACGTGTTAAATCACCAGCTCTGTCTTCGGTCATTCCCCTCCATCAGTTGTTTGATTTTTGGGTTAGGCAAAGCCGGCTGAATGCAGGCACACCATCATGCTGGCACGCTCTGCAGAAGAGGAGGAGGGAACAAAGATCTTAGGCCGGCAGCCAAGTTAAAGCTCCTTTCTGTGTCTTCTTGAAGTTCTGCTGTGCCAAGAATGAAAGTGTTAGCATAGGGTCTTGGACGGAAATTTCTCTCTTCGTTGCACTGGCTCTGGCATGTCGGAAGCTGGAGTTAAACGAGTTGGTTTCGCGTTGCTACGATTCCCGCTTCACTAGCTACTTTGTCAATCAGGCTGGGGCAACAACCGCTACAATCCCTTGGGGTTGAGGCGAGCTTGTGGGCAAGAAAGCTTGGAGCATGGGAGTCTTCCTGCATTCTGCTCGTGTCCTGGCATTCAGGGGGTGCAGGGGGCTTGCAGGGGTAGAAATAATGGCACACATTCCACAGGAGAGCCACATGTTGCTGCCCTGTCCATGTCTGAAGCCAGCATGCCATGACGGTCTCAGGGGTGGAGGCCAAAGAAGCTGTGAAAACATCTATTACTAAGCATTATGATTACTATTACTGTTCCTAACACTGGTATTACCATTCTGGGGGGGGGTTATGATTTTGTTGCTATAGTTGGTGGATATGCAGGAAGGCAGTGGGCGACAAATTCGCAAGCTCCAAAGCCGAACAGGCAGAGACCTGAGAATCTGAGAAGTTGAGGCGTGCCATGTAAGGTCATATAGGGATAATGGAAAAGAAGTCATTAAACCTACTCTATTGTATTGGCGTATCTATTTGAGTTATATCTAGGGATTATAGAGGGATACATAGGGAAATTACCCCAACAGCAGAGAATCACACGGAAAAATAACATGCACAATGATATTGAAACTAGGACTGGATAGCGGCGTATTAATAATCACATGGTTGTCGCCCGAAGTCTCAAGAATCAACAACTTTCCTCCTATACCCAAGAGCTCTGCCAAGATCAACGGGATCCACTGGCCATGCACGACACGGGTGCAGCTTGCCTGAGTGAGAGCAGGCGTCTGTTTTATGCGTGTATCAAGCAGAAGGCAGATGGGATTTCGGCATTGCAGGCATCGAGGCTCAAACTCTGCAAAAAGCAAGTCTACTTTGCTTCTGGGGGGCCGCGCAAGCCGAGAAGCATGTGTTAGTATCCAAGGTTTGAGGAAGCCGAAAGTTCTCAAAAGAAAGAGAAGAAGGGGCCCTCGCAGTGAGCTCAGTTTCGGAGCACATGCACAGCGGCCATGTCACACCATTTTACCCGCTAATCAGACCCCATCACCTCTAACGCCAAATGCATCAAGCAGACCCGCTTCGCCGTTAGACTTGAGACTTCTCCTCTGGTTGAGACGATAAGTGCGCACGCAGCGCAAGGTGCCGCCACTTCATTGAAGTTGCGTGCGGGAGCAATCACTCCGCCGTGCTGGAGAATCTGGAGCTGGAATCTCAAATTGCTCTACCTGCGGACAGTATTGGATAGGGTGTATCCCATGAGTGAGATGTTGGAGCTGCAGCCGTGTTTGAGTCCTAGGGCCTTTCTCAGTGCACGGAGGCAGCTAATTAGCGCCAGAGTCACTCATGCTTGCCTCATAGGTCTGCTCCCAACAAAGTTACGGCTGCCCATTCCCCATTCTGTTTGGTGCTGTATGCGATCTGTGCCCCTTGCTTGTGCACATTTGTCAGGCCGTCTCAAGGGCCGGCAGCCCAGTAAACGCCAGCATCTCCCATTCAGAGAAGTTGTTCTTGAGCCTGGTTTCGGTTACATTTCTTGGGAATTTGACTGCCCAGAGGTTTCTGACTAGTGGTCAGTATACACACGTGCAAGCTGCAATCGCTGACCCTTCCCATAAGTTACTTTGCCATGTGTGTGCTCCAAGGACCAACTATTCGAAGACCCGCCTCCTGACCTGCGGGAACAACTCCAACGGACAGCTGGGCCAGTGCCCCAGGCGCTTCAAAGAAACGACGGGAAGTGTTTGGAACCGGTTACTTTGGAAGCAATGAGAGCCCCCCCGCATAAGATTTCGCAAGGTACATGTATTTGTCAGCATGCGTGGGACCTCGCACCTCAGCTGAGGTCAGATGCCTGGAGAGCCAGAGCCCCTCCTCATGCAGTTCTCGTTTCATCGCATTGGTCATAGGTTCTTCTTGCCAGGGAAGCATTGCGGTCCACGTGTTTTCGGTTGGTTTTTGTTCAGTGTTCAAACAAATGTTCGGGTGCGAAACAGACAGGGAGACGCTGCATTGTAATTGAAAGACGGACAAGCTTTCTAATTTTGGAGTCCCTGTGGCCGATTGAGATGGAACATCCCTCTCGTGCGAAATTCGAGGCTCAAGCGCAAGAGCCCCTTTAGAAGAAGTGGCTGCCAATCAGCAACCACCAGGGGACGCTCCGCAGTGGGAGGGTCCCCAAATCTGGAAGGCCGAAAAGCCATAGCTGCTTAGCTTCCAGAGCATGAGCCAAGAAGCGGATTACGAGGAGTTCCTGACGTTGCGACGTCATGTCCGCAAACTCCAGGCCTCGAGTGACAGTATTGACTACCGTATCGGACGTTTTTCAATATGGGAAAGGTATGCTGCAACATATTTCTTTACATAATGTTAACTTTGGATTGTTAAAGGGGGTCGGATTAGAGTTAAATCGGGCCTGAACGGAATAATGTCAATGGGTACGGATTAGAGCTTGATCCGGTCTGAATGGATTAATAACAATACAGGAAAGGAATGATTCCATGGTCGCTTCTGGAAACGCCCAAACAGCGAAACAAACAAAAGACAGAGAGAAGAAAGCCAGAGAAGCCAGCCAGTCTAAGCAACCCAACCCCTAATTCAGTATCTGCAAAGAAGAATAAGATCAGAATTGCAGATCTGAAACCGAACTGGTTAAAGCTTTTTCGCCAGAATCCAATTCCATTGCGAATGTCAGGTTGTGAGCACGCCAGAAACTATCGATTTCTCATCAGACCGCTTTATTCGAACAGCCCAGGCAATCATGTCTGCTAAGGGGTACTATACCGAGACCGCCGGAACGGACTGACGTAATAATGGCCATTAAACAGGATACGGAATAATCAGGGCCCTTGCAGGCATGGACCTCATAATCTGCAAAAGAAGAATAAGATCAGAATTGCAAATGTATCCCAAGCCTTAGGCCTGGAGATCTGAAACCGAACTGATTGAAGCTTTTTCGCCGGAAACAAATTCCATTCCGATTCTCGGATGTGGAGCGCGCCAGAAACCATCGATTTCTTATCAGACCGCTTTTTCGAACAGCCCAGGCAATCAATGGTTCCCAATCAGGGGTTAGGGCTGGGACCCACCCAAGCAAATATTCCAACAGTTGATTGGGGACCCCCGGTACCATTCAGAAACGTATTTGTTTGGGGGGCAGGGTTTATAATCAGAACCCCGCCATTATTTACCTTGCAGTCTATTGTTACCATATGTGACATGCACTCATGCATCTTCATACCAAGTGTGGGTAGCCCTGCGTTGATCTCCTCACTTTGCCCAGGCCACTGTTGTGATGAGCCTGCGTTCCCTACCACGCATCAATCAGCTGCAATGTCTGCTCACCAACCCTGAGAGGCAGGCACTCCTCTTCTCCTCCGCTCCCAGGGAGCACAGGGCCAGGATCTGGACCTTCAGATCTGTGCCGTCCAAATCTCCCAGGACAGCATGTCTAGGTTTCACGCATGGCCACAAGGCCGGACTCCTTTCTTGGCGTGCCAGACCTGTCATGGTTCACTTGCTATCCTGCTATTCGTCTCAAGCTGTGCGTCAGGACCTTCAGTTCCTGTCATGGCGGGACAGTGAGGGGAACGGCTCCACAAAGCTGCTCGGGCTTCGACTGGCTAATGAGCATGAAGACCCGTAGGCCCTCGACAGCACGCAAGACTTGCCAGGCAACTTCCGCTGAACAAAATCCTGGCTGTGGAGGATACTAGCCTCCCATCCTTGCCCGGCAACTCCGATGGACACCTGGCAATTTGTATTTTTCGAGTGCTGCTGAGGTGATGTGCTGATGATGCTGATGATGCTAGTGATGCTGGGCCGGTGCAAGGGTAAAAAGAAGCAACCTCTTGGAATGTGAAAGTGCTGAGCTGGTGGGCGACGATGCTTCTCCTCTCGGGCTGTGCTTCGGTTCTGTGGGAGCTTGTGTAGCTTGTCTCTATGAATGGCCAGGCGATGGCCACCACGCGTTGCAGGTGAAGCTTCGGCAGGACTACCCTTCAAAGCGCAGCAAACGTTTTCACACAGGATCCTGAGGCTAAACTTGGCTAAACCCGCTAGGTTCAAACTCAGTTGCTTTGCTTAGTAAGCTTTCATGTAGGGCTGAGCTGGAGATGATGCACAAGTGTTGAGGTTGATTGATGTCAAACTCTTTCCTCCTCGCGGAAGTGTTCTGCATACTTTTCTGTTTTCAGAAGGCTACTGTTCGGCTTTTTTGGTAGACTTTATGCTTTGTCATTTGGCCAGTTCTTGTTGCAGATTTCATGCTGCTACTGCGCTGGATAGAGGACATAAAGAAGTCTGTTCTGGAGAGGTCCTATCAATGTGCCTTGCCAGAAGCATTCTGGCTTATTGTTGCCCTGGCAGGAGAAAGGTTTGGGCCTGCCAGCTCAAATCGAGTTAATTTGCGCCTTGGGCCGGTTCCAGAAGCTGTTTAGTCGAGGCGACATGACCGGTCGAGTCTTGTAGCAAGACTCGCGCGCAGTACAGCTGTTTCTGTCAATGGCACATTCTGTAGAATTGTTGAGTCCTCAGTCCAAAAATGCAAATCCCAAGTAGAGTCTTCACAATCCCCTCAGACTTGGGCATGTCCGCAGTTGACGAGCTGCAGTAAATATGCATATGCAAGTACATGTTTGACTTTCCTGCCGCAGCTAGTCTAAGTCTAGCAATCTTTCAGATCGTGGTTATCATGTGCTATGATGATGCTTGAACTGCTCATATCTTGCACTTTGCTTTGGTGCCAAGAGGCGGGAGTTTCGATGTTATCTCCACATACTCCTGAAGGAATGATTCCTTGCCTCGAGCGAACCTTTAAACTCCAAGCCCCAAGCACTCGAACCTAGATCCTAAGCCTAACAGTTGTTCGTTTTCTGAGCATCGGATCCACCGGACACCCCCCATGTCGGTGCAGGCAACTAGCCGGATCTCTGTACCAGTATGCACTCAGAGAAGGGGGACGGATTCGTTTGGTAATACCCCACTTCCTGGCGCAGAAATCTGATAGCAGGCTTAACCTTGGAATCTTAAGCAGTCGTACCAGTATAGAGAGAAAGTTGGACAAACATCGATTTATGGATTTGTGTTATTGCTATATGTGCAGATTCCCAAAACACGCACAGAAGTCGTTGGTATTCTACCGGTATACCCCAGCCTTGAAAAACCCGTGATGATCCTTGTGCATAGTAGATTCAATTTCATCTTCCATTTCAATCTCTATTATCGTGGTAATATCCCCGAAGCCCTAAATGCTCATTGTGCAACCCTCCTATGTCATCCCTACCGCCCTAAATCGTAATTTCCATTTTCTCTTCCATTATACCTATGTACCCAATATTCTATCTTATGACATGCCCCTATATTCCACCCCTGTATTCCTTATGCTATTATAATTATATCCCTTATATCCTATATTCCTGTATTCCCATCAGGTACCTCCAAGGAGGACCAAGAGGCCTGGCTCCAGGGCCTTCGCTTCCTTGTGGCCGACAAAGGCAGCGAGGAAAAGATTCCTCAGGCCCTGTAGCCGAGCAGGGAGCCTATAGAGGTACATGCAGGGTTAAGGGCTTGGGGACCATATACAGATTTGCAGAATTGATGCCTGATATTCCGTTGACATTTGCTCTTATTCGCGCGAGAAGGACTTGTCTTATTGACGGAGTTGTTGTCAAGGCCCTGGCTTTGAACATGTAGATGGCCTACACTACTCATTCTTCTGCTTACTGTGACTTGTGCTGATACGCTAAACTATTATCATCATCATGTTTTTGATGTCGATGCTAGTTTTCGTGCTGCTGCTCCCGCTGCTGATGTTGTCTTGCCTTCAGCCACCGGCACTGCTACGCGGACAATTGCGATTTTTCCTCACGCCAAAGCATTCTGGCAGTTTCTGAGCCTTAGCTTCAACAACATTGCCATGTCTGCATCTTCCATTGCTAGTGGTCATCCCGATCGAACAAACAGATGGTGTGGACGTACGCATACGACAGCCTCTTTTGCTAACAATGCATCACACGTCTGCTGTCACAATTATTCTGCAGGACATATGGTCAATTCAGTCGGGCCTATGTCAAAGCTTGGGGATTTCAGCGCTTACCAATGATTTTTCCTTCTCGCAGGTCCCTGAAATCTGGATTGATTTCTGCATTGTGCGATGTACGAAATAATCCCTAGCTCTGGCATAATATACTTTTGCAGGGATTGCGAGATGCGATGTTGCAGGGGAAGCCCAGTGAACAAGGTCTACAAGAGAAGCTGAAGCTGCAGGATGCATGGGTGTCTTGCAGAAATGGGCCCGTCTTGGGGGTGTCCTTGGTGCTACAAACATCCTCCAGCTAGCCTGAAGCATGAAGGTCTGACTTCGAAACATTGGCCTGTGTTGGTGGAAAGAGGGGGAGAGGGCTTTGTGTCGCAGCACGCAGAGGTTGCGCATGTATTGATTCGCGGGTTGACTAAACGCACGGAGCCTGCTGGCAGCATCGAGCCGGTCCAATCATGCGTTACATGGAGATCAAAAAGCTTGTCCAGGAGCAACTCTGTGAGCAGCTGCGGCAAGAGAACAACATGCTCCGCGACATCGTTAAGAGCCTTGGAGAAGCACAGTGCTGTTTGTGACAGGAAATTAGTGTTGATCCAGTGTTACAAATGTCGCTCCAGGTGGTTTTTGCTGCATGTTTATCTTGAGATCCCGGCAGCTATTTGGCATGGATTGTGCTGTGAGACAACCAGCATCATGAGGGCTTCCAACACGGCCTTGAATGTTGCACGGAAAAAGGTTGCCGGCCATGTCTTGGCTTCGGTTGCAGGGCCACACAGAACTGCCTGACTGAAGTTCTGCGTTTACCGCAGTTGCGGTTACAACTCCTCATGTAGTATCTTTGAACAAGGAGAAAGGACGAAACCATCGCGGAGCTTCTGCGTGATAGCCAAAGCACTTTGGCATCATGGGCGGCTAGCAAGCCCTTCTGTGGGACGTCTCATGCATTTGGATGATGCGGAGGGGTGAAGCTTCAAGAGAAGTGCGCCAGTGCTCTTGCACTCTGCGAAGCAACCACAAGCTGCCATAGCTGACTTCACTCAGGCAAGTCGATCAAGACAGAGTCGACCTCGCGGGAGAGTGACGAGCACCTGCAGCACCTTGAGTTGGAAGTACCCTTTGGCCAGTATAAGAATCATGTGGCAACCTACCCCTCGGCCCAGAACAAAATTACTGCAATTACCTGGCTAGCGGCTAGTGCATGCTGCATGGCATGGCACTAAACTTGCATACCTCAGGTATCGCGAGGTCGCCATTCTCAGGAGGAAGAACAAACGACTCCAACTTGACCTGAAGTCCAAGCAGCAAACCATTGCAGGTCTGCTTGCCAGAGAGGTTCATGGCTTTGTGATCCACATCTGCCTGCCGAATGATCACTTGCATTCGTCTTGATCAGATGAAGTGGACTAGGGACATGACCTCCATTGACCCAACATTGGAGAATCAAATGGAAAAGACCATGGATCAAGGAATTTGAACTACCACATTCTACATATATGTGCATATACATACACACAGAACGATCATATAGGTTTCTCCCTAACTGCCACCCTGAAGGTCTGCTGAAGCTGGTCGAGAGGCCTGTGTTGTGGGTGTTGTATTTGTTGTGTGTGTGTGTTGTGTTTGTTGTTGTCGTTGCGGAGGAGGGCAGCAGAGTGCCGAAAGTCCTGCATCTGTCTAAGATGCCTTCTCCATGATGCCTTCTCCAGGCTATCGCAGCAAGCCGATGCCGAAACCAGTGCGCCAGAAGACCAGGCCATGTGAGATTTCATTTGATGCAGCCCACAACCAGCTTGCAGCAGGAGGACACGCAAGACGAGCCAGAGATCAATCCGAAAGTGCATCCAAAGCTCGTCGTGACCCAGGCTTGCTTTCGGTGAAGCAGCTGGCCCGGTTCTTGAGTAGTCACAAGAATCATGTGCAGGGCTCTATGAGGACCGGCCTCCACCTGGCCTTTCGAAAAGCTGCCAAGTAGTAAAATGGATAGTCATGGAGAAGGATAGTAAAACCCAAAAACACTACTAAGCCAGAAGCCTTTGAAGGGTTCGTGTTCGCTGAGCTTGCAGACTTGCAGGTGGCTGTGGACCCTGACTCCGCACCGGCGGCGGAGGCGCCAACGGTGCAGGCCGGAACTGTCGACAAGCTGGTCAGTATTCGTCAGTCATGGCGGTACCACAGTCATAGGTTTCAGCAGTATTTCTGCCACGGTTACTGCTATGGTTAAATGTATTACATGATATAGCTCTTCTCATCGCCAGTCGAGTGCGGCTAGTAGTCCTGGTGTGCTTGCCCTCGTTCATCCTGTATTCTTTATACAAGTCTTGCTACTTGTATTGATCTCTTTACTTGTTATCTGAGTTATTTGAATAAACATCACCGGAACACAAACACACCCTCCAACACTATGCCAATAAGGCCGTGTGTCAACACACAACCTCAGCACTCTTACCAGGCTCCCTGCCCCAGCCCACTGGAGCCCGCGCCGACCCCGACCCAGCAGCAGGAGGCAGTCTCCGTGCCAGTGCAGATTGTGTGTTTGTTTGCCCTGAAGTCTTCTGAATTTGGGCTGCTGGCAGCAAGTAGTAGAATCTAAGAAGCTTCGTGCAGGGCCCCTTCGCGGGGGAGCTGGGTGCATTGGTCGAGAAGCTACAGGCCAAGGGTGTTGATAGGTTGGGAGATTCTGGGTCTGAAGCTGGAACATTTTCGTTTCGTCTACCACCTTGCTTCTTCATGGCAGCAGCGAGGCTTTGCAAGAAGCCACAGCCTCGGCCACGCAGGGCGTGGCCTCGTTGGGTCGCTGCTCGGGGTGCAGACAACTCATGGCAGATTTCTGTGCCAGCTGCTTCATGAATGTTGGGAACAGGATCACTCTGCATTGTAGCGGTTCCGTAGTTTTTTTGTTCTCGCGCCCCTTTGCGGACATGTGTTGGAAAGTCAGGCTTTCAGCCCCCAAGCCGTAGCCCACCTGGGCCTGCCCCTCGCGGGCCAAAGAGTGCTGCTGCGCTTCAGGCGCACAGGGTGGAAGGAAGGTCCTAGAAAGGATTTGGTGGCTGCATCGGTCTTCTTCGATGGTTTCGGTGCCAGGCACTGAAGCGTGAGATGGCCGTGCTGGAGGAGACCTGGGTGCAGTAGAAGAAGAACGTAAAGCCTAGCACCACTGTGCGTCTGCTGCACCGCTTCGGTTCGAGCCTCTTCATGCAGGGGTTGCCATGTCATGCTGCAGAAGCAGCCAACCTGCAGGAGAAGAAGAGGGTGGTGCAGCATCTTGCCCATACTCTAGAGCCAGATGGCTCTGACTCAGAGGACGGGTTTGGATGCTGAAGTGCTGGAGTCTGCAGAGCTTAGACTGATGCTCCCAGGAGGGTGACGGATTCCCGCTGCGCTGAGCCCTCCACAGAAAAAATCTAAACCACACTGCGCGAATGGCGCAGCGCCCCAGCCAGGGGCAATGCTTGATGTACGCGAACTTAGCTATGTGTGGAGGCGCCAGTTTTAGGTACCAGAGAAACACATGTGCAAAGACGCGTATCCTGGACGGGAGAAAAAATGCTGGCATTGGCAGTACCAGAAGAGCTTGCAGCGTTTGGTAAGCTGAAGGACGGGCCTTGGAAAGCAAGCTCTGAGGTCCGAGGACGACACCGCCAGGGAGGCCTTGCCTGCTGTCAGGTTGTCTTGGACCATTCTTGGCTTAAGATGGCTTGAAGGCCGCGTACATTCCCTGGCATGTGCTCAAGGGAGAATTTCTTCCCCATGCTGATGCTGCAGCCGTATTGGCCAGAGGAGATAGCTCAGAGAGGCTTCTTGTTTTCCCAGCGTCTGACCTCTCCGTGCCAGTGTCTTTGATCAAAGTCTAACTGCTTGAAGGCACAAGAGAAGGTAGGATTACTTTTAGGCCCTCGCAAAAGACGTGCGCCACGCATATATGTATACAGATACATGATAGATCTATGGTGATGATGATGATGATGATGATGATGGTGAGGATGGTGCCCGCAAATCTGGTCAGGAACGTTAAGCGAACAGGAGGTGAGAATACTGTATCATGCTTTCAAACAGTCCGATCACGTAGTGGAGCGTGCGGCAACTACAGGGCAACAGTTGTTTGAGTCTGGCAGGCCATGGCTTTCCAAGCGATGGCCCAGGACTTCGACCTTCTGAGGTCGCAGCTCCTGGATGTGATCAAGGCCAGGTTGATGGGTTCTGGACTCTTCCCTATCCACGGAAGCCAGGCGAACCGCGCCAAATGTGTGCCGAGCGATGAACACCCGTCTGCCGTGACAGGCCAGGCCACCGGTGCTGTGGACACGCCCTTTGAAGCTAACGTGTTGAAGTATTTGAGAGGTGAAGCCGCTCAAGAGCACTGCCTGGAGGAGGCAGCTGTCTGCGCGAAGGCTTTGACCCGTGGCACTTGTTGCCGCAAGTAAGAGCTCGCGAGGGGCCCGCCGCTTTGCCTCCCATGGCCATCTCCCTCCTGGAGCGCGTCCAGGTCTGCATGGTGCCTCGTTCATTCGAGCGTAGCCAGCATCAAGCAGTCCAATTTCTGTGGGAGGAGTACCAGGCGAACCCGGACGAGGAAACTTGGATGCGGAGGAAGTCTCTTTGGGAGAAAGGTCCAAGGTTGAGTGCTTTCATACAAAAATCTGTGACCGCACAGCCGAGGAGCGGTTTTCCAAGATGGTGACGTTGGCTGAGCAGATGGATGCAAAGTCTTTGCTGCTGAGCTGCTAGTTGGTATTTCAGCTTTAGACCTCCAGAAGTATTATTTGGCTCTATAGATTGCCCAGCCAGGCTGGCAAGTTGCACGTCCCACGGGAGCAGCTGTAGCCAAGGTTGGTGTCGGCCAGAGTTCTCATGGACCGCGCCGGGCGGTGGCTTTTGGGAATTTTCCTGGGTGGTTTGACACGACAGGTCTACCGTAGCCTCACCAAGGAACGTTGCTGCAGGTATACTGCTTCTGTGCTACTGCAAAGTTCATCTCTGAATGTCTCATAAACCAGAAGCTATTATTCTGATTTGGTAATCATCCAGCCTTGTGCTGGATGGGGTGGAGGACCCTTTGTTAAACTAAAGCCTTTTGTCTCCGATCATTCGCCCAAACCTGATTCACAAGTTTCGTTGAGTTGTCAAAGGGCTTCAACGCTTCCCTGAAATGGAGCATTCGGAGCCTTCCCCCAGTTTTCTGCCACAGGAGATCCTGGTCCAAGCCAACCTGGCCGAGTCTCATCAGCGGCTGAGGTCCTTCAAAAGAGCTTTGAAGAGCTTTGTGACCATGGACTTCACGGACCGCTTTTCGCTTCGGGTGCATGTATGCCAGCAAAAGGACGTTAGCCATCAAAAGTCGCGAGTGTGCTGGTTTGATAGTGGTCCCAAGCCACTAAAGTGCCAGGATCCAGGCGACACGGCCATCAAGACTTTCCGTGGGTGCTTCAACAAGATGACTGCAGCTCGCTTGTTCAAAGGGTGGCCCGAGAGGAGGATGCTGAGTTGGCAGATGATAGCTGCGGAAGCCAAGGAAAAGGGCATCACTTACACACAGATCCGGGAGGCAAGTCTTCAGTGCTGGCATCTCAACTTTACCTTGTTTTTGAAGACCGGGCACGTTCATGGCAGGCTTTGGTCAACCACAAGATCGAGCTCGTCCTCACTGCGCATCCCACCCAGGCAGGAGTCTTCTCAGCAGGGCTGGAACCAACTTGTGTCATGACCAGTGGAGGTATACTGGCAACAGATCTTAGGCATGCTCTAGATCATGAATTTTGCGTGCAATTTGATGAGAACTGCGACAGCCTTGTGCTGTCTGCTGCTACAACTCTTTCATTCCCAAGCCATCCCTTCATAGATCCCAGAGATAGCCTCCAAATCTGAACCCATGGCATCTTAGCGGGCATCGGAGGGCGGCTTAGGCAATCTTTTTTGGGATCCTTCAGTATGCGACAGCCCACCCAGTCTCTGTAGGTCCCCAGGCCTTTCAAAGGCATGCTGCTCATACCAAGGCCTAGGGATCAGTATGGGTCACTGGTAGATCCCCATCAATCCCTACTGTTGGCTAGTAGGGAATAAGGGATACAATTCCAGTAGTCCCCTTATGACCCTATACCAATATATATTCCCCTATGCCCTACTAACCTCCAGAAAGTCGTCCGTGGGCACCAGCCAAAGTGCCAGGCCCAGCGCCGCAGCAACCTTAAGAAGCATGAGAGCATTTCGGAGCTGCTGAAGGTGGGAAGACATTAAGGGTTATATGGGATATGTAGGGATATGTAGAGATTAGATAGGGATAGTGAGAAAAAAAGGAAACTACTGTTTGGCGTTAAGGGTTTAGGGTCTAGGTTGAAAATGTTCTGAGTAAGATGGAGAATCAAACGGGAAAGAACATGGAACATGGAATGGAAGCTGGGGCCATAAGAGTCTGGGGTTACATTTGTTTTTTGGGGACAGATCCTGTGTATTTGGGATCATGCAGGGACCACATGGGGTTCTACGTTGTTCAGGGGCGTGGCTGGTGCGGGCTTCGCGGATTGATAAGTTCTGGTGAGTGGATTGGCGGTTGCCTTCCTTTGTAGTTTTTGCAGGGGTTCAGGTTAACAATGGAGTACTACCTGGTTAGTTGACATGTTGAAAGGTTTCAAAGAACAAGACCTCCCCCCTAAAAACAACAGTACAGAAGCTTTCTGTGTGTGGACTCCAGCCAGGTTAACGATACCAGAGATTCCCTGACCCCGGGCGAGCAAGAGGAGCTGCGCGCCAAGATCCAGGCTATGGATGAGGTTGCACCCTTCTCGTCTCCAGCGTAGCTTTTCTGTGAGATTAGATGCGAGAGGCTCTCCCGTCTTTCTCTCAGCTTGACAGGGATGCCTTGCAGCTTCGTTTTGAACTGCTTCGCTACAGTACCTCTCCCTCATCAGGCTTGGGGTTTCAGGATCGCCTTTGGAGAAGGTCCCGGGAACCTTCACTCTTATTCTGGAACGAGGTTGTGCATCAAGTGATAAGCCCTAGTCGTGCTTTCTTGTGAATGATGGGATTCATGGCCGCTGTTTCTGCTTCGAGCCTGCATGTGCATTTCAAGTTCTCAACGATTTGGATGCAAGATCATGCATGACATGAACGTTCCATGGAGGCTCTTCAATGGAGCTGCTGGCGCACCAATGCCGTCCGGCGCAACCGGCCCACTGCAGAAGGCTTGCATCCTTGCAAAGCGATAGTTCAACATGCAGGTAGCCTGCATTTCCGACAAAAAACCTGCATGGGTCCAAGGTGAGGCACGCAATGGGATGCTGGTCCTTGAGGACTTTGTTTTTCATCCAGGGTTACTGAGCGATGGGACATATTGAGCGGTCAGGATGCAGTGTGGAAGGCAGTCCCGGAGCATTGCCGTCGAATTGATCGCTGCCTGAAACACCGTGGAATGCCTCCTCTCCCCTACGATGCATCGGCCCTCCGGCGTTTTCTTAAGTCCTTCTGTGGAGTGTTGGACAGCACAAAATCTAGGACCAGGCATGTTCAGAACCGGCACGCCCGCTTTGGTCTACAAAGGTCATCAAGATGAGCACTTGGATGGGTGGTGACCGGGATGGCAATCCAAATGTCACAGCTCCTTGCTTCAGAAAAAGGTGAGCCAAGACATCATCAGCTTGTTGAGTGCAAGCTTTGAACATGCAGCTCTTGTTGATTTAGAAGTGCTTTGAGAAACGTAAGTTTGCAGTTTTCATTTGAATTTATGCGTTGCATTTGTGCCTCACTACAATTGTACAAGTCCGCCGCTTGGAGACTGAGGCTGCCACAACACGTGAAGTCAGTGCCCTCCTACGATGGCGAGTGGCCGAACTTTACTATGCGGAGGCGAGCTAAGCATCGACGCAGGATGGTTCTCAGTTGAGTATGAGTATCAAGGAGAAGGGTCTTAAGAGAGTAACTCAAAGGAGGTCCAGTGTGGATAGGAGTGCTTGAAGTGAAGGGCCTGACACTTCATCCTGCAGGTAGATGCCTTGCTTTTCGACCTGTCCATGACCGGCGATACCAGTGAGGCAGGATTTTCAGCCCTCACGAGTCTGGTTTTCCTGCTACAACCCTTTCTCACGTGCGACCAGAGCCTGAGTGGTTTCTCAGAGCTTCAGGAACTCCAGCAAGAGCTGCAGAATTTGGCTGGCATGTGGCCCACTCCCAGCTTCAATGGTGACAAGGTGAGGATCCTGGCCATTTGCTTGGCTCCACTTGGCCGCTGCTGTGTAAGCCCTGTAGATTCCCCATTCCCTTTACATTCCTGAGGTGGTCCGTTCGCAGTTCTTAGCATACTCCAGAATAGTAATAGTAATAACAATAATAGTAGTAACAATAATAGTAACAATGATAGTATTAATAATAGTAATAACAATAGTAATAATCATAGTAATAATACTACTCCCCAGGCCCAGAATGTGCTCTTTAGCTCAGAGATGCGCCGAGCGCTTTGAAGGTTTGCCGCCCAGACACCCGGTGTGGCGTTCACCTGAACTTCCACAATGGTGTGGCTGCCGATGAGCCGTACCGCCGGTCCCGGGGTCTGGAGTTTCAGGACATGGACAGTTGCCCCTCCATTTGGAACCAACTCTCTGCTAGGTCAACTGTAACTGTTGGCTTGCAGTGCTTGCTGTCGCCTGCCCTACTTTCACGCCACATCAATTGTTGGGGATAACCAGAGGCTCCTGATGAGTGTGCGCCGTCGCCTTTTCCGCACGAAGAAATGTATGGAGAGCCTGTATCTTGGAAAGCCTGTGGACAAGGACTTTGAGCCGGAGGTCTACAAGAGCACCGCCGCTAAATGGAAGGGAACAAGAAGGATTTTACCTGCTAGTCTCGCATTCTTCTAAGTTTATGTATTCTCGCGGCTCCATGGCATGCCCACTCAGAGAGTGTTTTGATCTCACGGCTAGCTGTCAGGTGTCCCTCGCATTGATAGGTAACAGCTGGCAGCCCTACCAAAGTACTAGTAACCACGTATTGGCTACGGTTAGCAGTGCGTACAAGCTAAGAACAGTGCCAGTGTTGCATGGGGAAGGCTTCAACTCTCCTGGTTTGAGCCAAGTTGTAGGATTCTTCCTCTTTTGGGCTGACCACAGACATTTCGGCAGCCCTAGCGAAGCTCGAAGTTGGATCCTCTTTTTGAGTTGTTACATCTTGGAAGTCCGGCGAGGCCTAAAGCAAGGCACAGGAGGGTCGACTTTTCTTTATCCTGTGCAGGGGTATCCGACAGGAGTGATCCATTTTGGTTCCAAAATCCAGGCATGTCGGTTTATGAGCAGTGGTGGTTTGTTTTTCTGTGGTGTCCCAAAAAGGCTCCACGTGGGGCATCCCAGTTTTTGGTTTTGATTCGAACGTTTCTGGGCTTGAGTCCTCTGCCCCACGTAGCAGAAGACCTAGGGTCCAAGGGGATGCAGCTGTACAACCGAAGCCTTGCTGGCGGTCCCCTAGGGCCCTAGTTCATTCAACCTGGAGTGTCGGAACTGTTCGACCTTGATGTCCAATTGTAGTCCTGGCAACAGGCTTTGGGATTTCAAGGCTGGCGTCCTGTAAGATCTGAAGCTGCCCTGCTTTCTGGGAAAGCGAAGCAGGAAAAGGCAACCCCGTCAACCAGAGACTTGAACTTTTAAATCCTCTCAGTTTCCACGTGATTCATTTTCCATGGCTCCTCGAACAACGACGACAAAATCGATAATGACAATAACAACAAGAGCAACAATGACTTGGAATAACACTAGCAAAAACAACTTTCAACTCTTGGCCCAGGCATGGAGGAGCTCGCACGGCCACTGGAGATCGTCTACCGGTCTCTCGTGTCCACAGGCGACGAGGCCCTGGGGCCTTGTACAGCATTGGTCCTGACATGTCCTGACAGGAATGGCCAGAATCTATTTCTTGTTCCTGACCAAAGACTGGGGAGTCATCGTTCTCGGATTCCCAACCCGACCAGCCATGTGAGTAAGGTTGTGAAAAAACTTCCGAGTGTAAGTCCCAGGCCCCTACTGTTCGTGACAGCTTCATTCATCCTCCTGAAGTGATAGACAGTTCCAAAGACCGTTGCAGCACACTTGCCCGGAAATGCCATCTGAACGTTTTAGCTACAAAATGGGGGATTCCCGTGTGCAAAAACGGAGACCACTTCCCCCTGGAAAGTCTGTTGCATTTGCACAGGTGCTGGCCAACGGCCGACTGCTGGATCTAATTCGCCGTGTCCGCACCTTCGGGATCAGCCTCGCATGTCTGGACATTCGCCAAGAGTCTGACAGGCCCAAGTGAACCTAGGTCTATGTGCCAGGAGGTACTAGTAGGTCTGGCTAGCGAACTGCAAGGCAGGTGTCCAGTTTTGCGTGTTTGCAAAGAGAGGGTCTGCCGGAAGCACGCTCGTGTCGCTTCACTGCGGGCTTCCCGCAATCATGGCCGTTTCCAACACAATCGCCAAGAGTGCGCCGGTACAAATACATGAAATGCAGAACATACATACCTGTTGCTGGTGCTTGGGTATGAGGAGGTGCAGGTGCACCCTCCAACTGTTCAACTCGAATGGTGTGCAAGAATTTGGTCCATCTTCTTGGGCACAAGAGTCGCGTGAGCTGGCTTCCGCAGGAGGTAGTAACACCCTTTACTTCACAGCAGCTTTTTTGTGGAAGTCCGACTGTTCCGGACATGAAGCCTATTGATGCCTGTTGTCAACAAGCATTCTCACTGTCAGTGGTTGTTGAATGGTCTGCGGAGGGTGCCTTCAAAGGGCTTTGTTTTAGATTTGTTGTGAGTGGACACACATACCACTTACGTCGGAGTATGGCCAAAGCCGAAATCATTTTGGGTTTGGCATGCTTACCCGCATACAAAGGTGATGCACGAAGGAAACATGCAGCATGAACCTCCCGACCGTTTCCTATCTCTGGCTTGAGTTTGTGGGCAAATTGTAGCACCCAACGTGCTCGTCTGAACTTTTTTGGCTTGGAAGTAGATCCCTCCCCCCGCAGTAATTGACGCATACGTGCATCAAAAAACAACATGCCTGAAAGAGGCAATCTACACTTGACCTTTTGCAAAGAAACAGAAAGTAGTTCCTGGTCTGGGTTGCAGCCATCCATTTGAAGGGGTGCTTGAGTTCATGTTGGCTCTTTGTATTTCAAAGACCTGCGCCGATGGTGTGTCCCCCAAACCTGAGCAGGCACGAGGAAGTCATGGACGCGATCACGCAATACTTGGGACTGGGGACCTTCGGACTGGCACTTGATGTTCTTTACAAATTCAGACGTCAAGAGGAGATGAGCTAGATGGTTTTCATCAGCTGGTGCTTGTTACCTGATGTGACATGAGCATGCCACAGTCAGATCGTGGATGGGAAGTATTTTCATCCCAATGAATTCTAGTCCCTGCTACCGAAGCATCAGTTCTAGAATCCTACCTCCTAGACTGCTTTGTGATTTGGGGGTCTCAGATCCTACTCCGCGTGGGCGGAGCAGCAGAAGTGCGATTGGCTCCTCCAGGAGATTGAGTCCAAACGACCCCTCCTGCCTCTCGGAGTGTTACGTTATTTTGGACCTTTGGCTTAGGGTTTCTAGGCGTGGGGTAGACTTCTGATGCGTTCTATTTGGCCAGTGCCTGAACATCATGCCTAAGCTTGGAGTGAGGTCGCCGGGCATGCCCATGTCTGACATAGTCCGGGAGGTCATCAACACGCCCCTCAGCACAGGATGCAGACACGCAGCTTGCATACCTGCGTGCAGCAGGCATACTGCTCTCCACTTGCTGCCAGAGATTTGGGAAATTGATCCCTTCTTTGGACAAATCTTTTGGATCCAGGTTCTGTACCATAGCCGAGCTTCCTCCAGAGGCCGTGGGTGCCTACTGCATTTCGCTTCTGGACCACAATAAATGGTTTGGAAGCAGAACCCTCTTTTTTGCTGATTGCTGGCAACTCTGTGCCCGTTTTCATCCAGCTCAGGATGTCTCGTGCCACCTCAGATATCTTGGCGGTCTGCCTGCTGCAGCTCGGCGGCCTTGACAACAGAGTTTTGCAGAAAATGATGGTGTGTGATCTTTTGTGTTGGATTTGAATGCATGACAGAGCCTTATTTTGTGATCTGGCAAATGGAGCAACTGAGATCTAACCGAGGCAAAAGGTTGGAGGCGTCCAGCAGTTCATGCGGATCAGCCCTTTGTGGCTTGGTGTGGAAGCTATGCATTCGCGGATGCATGATTTTTCTTTGCCACGGCCCCGATCTAGGTTCGAGACTCGGGAGGACTTGCAAGCTGCGCCTCGAGTCGTGGACTCGCTGCTGAGCATTCCCTGGTACAAGCACCTGGGCATCAACGATCGATATCCTACCTAGGTCCTAGGCGCAGTCTTGAGATGAGCAGCCCAAGCGGATGTGCAGCTAGGACCTTGTCAAGCTGTTGTTGTTCCACGCTCCTGTTAGAGCAGCAGTTTCACCGTCATGCTCAGGAACCACGTCAAAGGAAAGCAGGAGGCCGTCGGCCAGTAGATGGGAGATCAGGACTTTCAAGTAAGAAGCTCGAATGGTTTGAAGCCTTCATTGACGAACATATCTTGAGTCACAATACCCACAAGGCTTAGCCTGCACAGCCAGCAAAAAGCAGCGTGTGAACCATAGAGAGTGCAATTGCAGGTCATGCTGGGCTACTCTGATTCTGTCAAGGCGCGGAACCGAAAAGGGTATACGTGCGACGAGCGTGTAGTTTCAAAGCGCGGGGTTGCGCCTGAAAGTGAACCTGGTGGAAGGGATGCGCAGCTTGGAAAGCAGCTTCGCGTGTGTTGGGTCAGTGGTTGCTTGAGTAGGCTTCTTTCACAAGCGATATGCTGTGCCTTTTCGAGCTACGGCTTCGGCAATTAGTTTATGCATCTCCAGGATTTGTTTGCCTTTGCTAGACCTGACCATATAGGACTCCTGAGAAAGGCCGAGCACAGAGAGAATACCTCGTATCACAAGCCCCGGCATGCGTTAGACGCCTTGCTGCTGGCACAGTTGCTCAGCGCATGGAGGCATAGAGCAGCTTTCTAGAAACTTGTTGAGATTATCCCGAGGCCCCAAATGGCACTTATCATGTTGAATCTCAAACCGGACAAGCAGTCCATGGAGCGTCGAGAGCCCAGGGCAGGGCATCAAGGCTGCGCAACGCCCCCCCCCAAGTCTCCCTAGAGCTCCTTGTCGTGCGCCGATCAACCGTAATGAGTGGTTGCCCTTGACTGACGACAGGTAGGCTGTAGATTCTGGTTGACGGCTGCCAGGACGCTGGGAAGTTTGCGTCCACATGGGCTTTGCATGTGGCTATGGAGAAGCTTGTGGAAGTGGGGACCAAGCCTGGACCCAAGCTTCCCCGTAAACAGCACTTCAGGAGTGATAGGGATGTAGCAGCTCGTATGAGTTCATAGCTTCTGAGTCTTTCCACGAATCATGGAGCCAAGAGCTTGCTTGGCAGAAGGCACGGCGTGGAGATCACCTTCTTCCATGGCCGGGGTGGCACGATCAGCCGGGGGGGCGGGCCTCCACACCTCACGCGCCCCGACATGTCTGAGAAAGAGTTGTGAGGGATGAGGGTCCAGGGGATGCGAAGCACCTCAGTCTTCGGATGCAGGTTGCTGAACCAGCCCGCCGGGTCCATCACCCGGCATTTGCGGCTGACTGTGCAGGGGGAGATGATTCAACAGTGCCTCGGCGCAGATTGTGGCATCTTTCGCAAGCAGAAGAGTAAGCTGCCTTTGCTGAGTTGCCTGGCTTGTTGGAACGACTGCTTCGCTAGGCATTTCATGAATCCGGAGGTAGCGGAGCACACCCTGGAGAGATATGCGGTGGCATGGACAAATCAAGCATTGCGCTTGGCAGAGTTTTGTTGGGGGGTTCATTTCTTCTAGCAGGCCTCTCGCACCTTTACACTGTGTACTTGAGCACGTTCCCAGCATCAGGCCGTGCGTTCAGTATTGGTTTTTGGCTACATCAGGAGTTCAGAAGAGCAAAAGCGAGGGAGCTGAGGTGAGGGTTTTTCAGTCTCATGGGCCTATCTTTTGGGAATCCTTCTGATGGGAACCTGTGAGGATATATAGTAGTGGGGGCATCCGGTAGATCCTTTTTTAACACCTGCCCAGGTGGCAGTCCTGGAGCATATGCTGACTCCTCCACCGTTGCCCTGCCCGGATTACCGGGCTGCCATGGAGGAGCTGGCAGACCTCTCGGCCCAGGACTGGGCAGGCTCTTTGCATATGGGAGTCTTTTCAACGTAGTTGTTAGCCTCAAGGGGTACATCCACATATTCCTAGCGCCCCCAGTGCTTTTTGAGAAATGACTCATAGGATTGTGAAGGTAGCTAATGATATAGAATGTCCATAGTATTCTGCAACTTATGCCGGGTGCTATGGAGCAACCCCAAGTCCGATGCATCCAGAAGAGCTGCGTAAATGTGTCGCAGCTTCTGGCATTTCCGCGCAGACTCGATCGCGAGTGTTGAGGACTATCAGACCACTGTTTTTCGGTCACCAGATGACCAATTCGTGAAGCTGCTAGCCTAACTTCAGAGCTTTTGCTGTAGCTTCCAGGCTCCTAAGCTGTACATCGTTGTATCTCAGGTACTTCCATACTGCGACCCCTTCCGCTGAGCTGGCTCAGATGCTCGCCTTGCATTGGCGTAAGTTCGGGCTGATGAGCCTAGCCTTGTCATGCCTGGTCTTCGTTAGTCCATTCTCTAGTTCGATGCAAGCCATCAAGGATGCAGCTGAGTGCCTGTAGGATGAACATCGGTTCGCGTCCAGCCAAGCGCCGCAATTACGGGGGCATTGATACCCTGCGGCCACCTGGTTCAAAGCTTGTTTGGGATGTGAACTCAGTTCATTTTCTTGTGCGCTATGTTGGCTTGGCAGATCCAGGGCCATCCCATGGATTTTCGCATGGACACAGACGCGGCTGCTTCTGCCGGTTTGGTTGGGCGGCTTGGCATCCTTTGACCTGGCATTCTGCTTGCCGGTGGTATATAGGGGTTATATTGGGATGAACTAGGATAATGGAAAACAACATGAAAACTACTAGGTTACAGTGTATTGGGATTCTGTAGGGGGGCCTCAGGCAACGGCCACGCCTTGGACAAGTTCATAGCTGACGGCAAGCTAGAGCTGCTCAGCAAGCAACAGCAAGCTCTGTTTTTACGAACTTGAGCACCAGGTGCCGCCTATGCTAAGGTTGCTTCAGAGGATGTATGCAAGCTGGCCTTTCTTCAAATCAATGCTAGACCTCATTGACATTGAGCTCGGGAAAGCTGATGAGCACATAGCCGCTCGAGTCGAACAGCAATGGGCTTTGCATCTTCCCTGGCTTGTTGAGCCATGCTGCGAGACTGCAGGGAGTGTCACCCAGCCAAGGCAGCTCACTACGACTCCAAAATCTGCGATGACGCGCTGAAGCCACTGGGTAAGGACCCACGAGCTTGCGCGGGAAGAATGAAAATGGCGTTCCTTGCTCTCGGTGCAGGATCTCCGCAAACGACTGCAACAGGCGACCAGCTCTGTCCTGCAGGTACAGCTGGAAGGCTTTGCCGCGTGAATAATTAGCGTCTCTGGAATCCTGGAAGGTCAAGAAGGAACAAGAGATCCTGTCCGCAGAGCCAAGCACGAAGTTGGCCATCGGGATGCGGAGGCCAAGCCAGACAGGGCTTACACCAAAGGCAGGTTAATCTGAGTTGAAGCCAGCGGGCCTCATAATCATGTTTCAGGTGTCATTTAGAGTTTTGTTGCCTAGGTGTGGCCATCTTGGCCTAATTGACATCACTCCAGGCCATACTTGGATGCCACCCACGTGATTCAGGCAGAGGTGCTACAGCGTGGGGAGCTCAGCAAAGCGGGGTGCTGCATTGTTATTGTTCTGGTGTCAATGCCGCATTTAGCCGGGCTGCCGCGCTCCTGAATGTTGGCAGTTGGCATCTTGGTGGTGAGGTCTGCGAAAGGCAGGAGAGCACATCAGCGAGGAGCTGGCCGATGCGATGATTGTGAGCATCCAGGGTATTGCAGCAGGAATGCAAAACACAGGGTGAGCCCTCCCTCCGAGGGCTCGGCACATCAAACTTTTCAATAGTCCCAACGATCCCCAACGTCAGCCAGATTGTTACCTGACATCCCAAGAATTTCAGCTTCAGAGAATACATTTTTGAGTTCGTCAGTGCCACAAAGGTTTGTGCTTTGGGCTGGAGGTCACTGCACGATCCTGCACTGCCCAGCTTGCCATGGGTCCGCATAGGGACGCGGCAAAGCGTTACTTTCTACGTACAGTTGGCGAAGCCGCAGACTGTCTCAAGTCTTCATGTGCGCTCTACATGCGCCAACTGCATCAAGCGTTGCTTCGCCTTGGGTGTTCAACTTCATGAAGCATCGATGCTCATTCAGCGAACGCTCATCTAAAATAAATCGATGGTTCATGGATATGGACACACCCTTGTTTACGTTATGTGTTCTGTTCCATCCAGCCATCTGTCAATGTGCTGGCTGCACTCAAGAGAAGTGCCCCATGATGCTGGCAATTCAAATGGCTGGAATAACCTCTGGAACGTTCGCAGCAGGGGAAAAGCTTCCTCAGGGTGCCTGTTGCCATTGCTGACACATGTTCGGAGGTGCCAGCGCCCAAGATAAGTCGTCTGCAGCTCATCTTAACTGGCAGGTGAAATTTCCAATGGATCGAGGCTTTCGTGTGGTCGTGCCCGAAACTCAACCTGCCAGTGGGCACATGTAGTTGCGACTGCTGTCATTGCAGAGACGGTCATGATCTTCCCTAACCAGGCAGCGAATAGCGTGTGGCGCGGATCACACTTTTGCCATCGCCAGATGCCTAGAGAATAACACAGACCAAACCGGAGCAGACAGACCTGAGCCTGTGATCTGTTACAGTAGCCCAGTAGCTTGGGTGATTCATCACTGAAGCACCGCCATGCAGTGCTATGCGTGACGGATTCCCGTAGTTGGAAGGTTGGCAGATAATTTATTCTAAGACAGTCACTTTAAGTATGCGGCACATGCCTTGTTTACGTCAGCCAATCCAGAAACGTAGGCTAAACCCTTTTAAACCCTAAATCATAGATCCTAAATAGTAGTTTCCATTTTCTTTTCCATCATCCCAATATACGCCCCAAATAATGTACATTATAGCAGTTTCCATTTTCTTTTTCATTATCCAAATATAACCCCAATATAGCCCTAATATTACCCCAATATTGCCAAAAAACACCCTAACATAGCCCGAATATTACCCCAATATTACCCCAATGTAACCCTAATATAGCCCCAATATTCCCCCAAAATTACCTCAACATAACCCTAATACTACCCCAACATTGCCCCAATATATAACCCTACATAGCCCCAATTACCCCAATGGGTACATGAAGCAAACATCTCACAACTCGCTGAGACTCAGCTGGCCTGAGGTCACCGTTTGGCGTGCCGATCCCAAGAGGGCTGGGGGGTCTGAAGCTGGAAACGTAATTCCCTAGGTAAATTCATTGGGGATTGGAGTAGGAATATGGCATAGTATACTATAGTATATTATAGTATACTAAAGTATATTATAATATACTATAGAGTACTATAATATACTATAGTATACTATATAGTATATTATGGTACACTATGTCACATTCTGGCATTTTGGCACAATTCCGGCTTTCTCGGCTCAAGTTGAAGCCGACAAACGCACAAGAAAGCTTCCAACTTCTGCTTCTGCAGCCGAGCCTGGACCTTCCAAATCAGTATTATTCTTATTGCTATTAGTAGTACTAGTATTACTATTGTAGGTATTCTATTATTATTGCTGTTATGTGCATATTTACCTTTCCCCAAAAGTAATCCCCTTAGTAATCCCCTTCCTCAGTTTTAAACTCCCACCCCCTCCTAATACTTAATATGCCCAATATACCATGATATACCACCAAGGGAGTATTTAATGTATTTAACATTGGGGGGTGGGGAGGTTTAATACTAGGGAGGGGAGTACCTTGCGTTGAGCCTTGGAAGTTTCCAGCGTGGAGGAGCACATCATATCCATTCTTTAGACATAGATGCCAGACCTTGCAACCCAGGAGAGCAATATCTCTCCATGCTGCTTGGTGGCACTGGAAGCACTGAGCACTGGCTGTCAGTTGAATCTCCAAAGATTGAAGTCTTAAAGCTTTCTCAGTCTCTCTAAATGTTTTGTAAGGCCTTTCGAAGGTCTTAGGGTGTGGAGCTTCGTATTCGAGCGGAAGCAGCCCCGCGCTTGCAGGTCCAACCCTATTCCAGGACTTGGCTGTTCCGCAGAATGGCGTGCGGCGTGCAGCAAGTATGGCATGGCAGATCTTGGTTTGGTCTCGCGTTTGACATCTGTTCGTCCACAGGATCCTCGGTGCTTGCGGTGGCGATGGATGCCCCGCTCGCCGTAGAACCATCAACGCTGGTGATTGAGAGTCTCTTCTAGTTTCAGAAGTAATAGCCGAAGAGGGGCCAAACGTCAGACCTGCAAGTTGCATTGTTTTTGTCTCATACATGGCCGAAGTCAGGGTGGCCTGTTTGGGATAAAAAAAATCCAGGTTTTGCCGGCGCTCCGCAGCATTCGAGAGACGCTGCTTCTGTGCTTTGTTAAGGATGGGCCGCGGTGTCCTCGGTGACTTCAAGGCATACCTATGCGCCAACAGTTCGCAAAGTGCAAAAGCTCCAAGACCTTGCGGCAGGGACACAAAGGCACTTGCTGGAGTTGCATTGCTGGTTGTGACTTGGCTCCAGCTGGCTAGAAATCAGCCATGGAACGCAGCATGGCGGTCCGTCCCGAGAGCGTGGAGGAGGGGTTGCTTTTTCACGTTGGATGCTTTACGGTGCTTCGGCGTCGGAACATGAGTTCAACGCTATTCTGTCTGTGAGTCGAGTACTGTCAGCCAGCCAGACACGACCAAAGCACGCCAGTTTAATAGAATTGGAGCAGAGGCGTTCCTTATGAATGACACCTACTGCTGCCGCCAGCATGTCGTCCTCCGACCGATTCCCGTGTACCGTGGAGAGTCACTGTGCTAGAAGGAATATGTGGACATATTTCACATTGAAGGACCTCCCTGGACGAACAGGCAAAAAGCTTGCGTGCCAGGAGTGGTTCCACTTTGTCCCCAACTTGCTCCACGATGCGGGCTGGCAAGTTCCACATCAATGCTCCTTTGGCAGGCTGTTGATTCACCCGGCTACATTGCCGCAACTTGTGTCTTGCGGAGTGCACATGCAGAATTTGCATCTTTCCAGGGTGCTTGCCAATGCTTGGTGGCTTGGTGCAAGGGAAAGATAGGGTGGAGCTGGGCTGGCTGTCTTCGCTCGATATGCCCCGGGTGCTTCCACTGCCCTAACCTTCCACTGCTTGGGTCCTCACCAGCACAGGGCTGTCACAGCAGAGAACTACGAGTTTCAGGTTTGGCTAGATCTTGCCATGGTCCTGAGAGGCTGATGCACCGAAGCAGCCCTTGGGGCGGACATCTCATCAGGCTGTGGCTTCTTCGTGTTCGGCGCATTTAGTGATCATGACCCCGTCAGAGCTGACAGGTTCTCCTTGGATAACCTTGAGGTCCACAACCCGCCAACAGACCCTGCCGCCCTCATTCCACGGCCGGAAAGCAGGGCAAGTGTGCTATGCAGCCTATGCTGAATTAGTCCTAGTTTGATGTTGTAGCCGCAGCTGCTTCAATGAAATCTAACTAGCTGCGCCGTGCTCTTTGTTCTCCAGAAAGGGGAGCTGAATTCCTCATACGTACATGGGCTGGTGAGCAGAGGCAAGTATCCAGAACTTGCGGATGAGTCCTTTGAGGCAGGTGCGGTTTTCTGCTTTCTGTTCCAGCATATTTCATTCGTCAGAGTTTGCTGTTTGCAGGTGGTGGAGCAGCTGACACCCGGTGATGCCATAGTGCATCGATCCCCCTCATGGAAGTCCCGTGCTGGAACGCTAAAGTTGCCCCCCCCCCCCCCCCCCCTTTGCCCGCACCAAATGCCAGCTCATCAGA